TGTGTGAGGCTCCTGAGGCCCCACCCATTTGGAAAGGGCTCACTGGGCCCTTCACTTGATGTTGGGAGCACCTGGGGGCTGCAGGCAGGCGCAGGCTTTGCAACACGGCGTGCCCCTCTCTTCCCCGCGCCCGTGGGTGGGAGTGGGGGTGGGGGAGGGGCCCAGCCTGTGAGGCTCCTGAGGCCCCACCCATTTGGAAAGGGCTCACTGGGCCCTTCACTTGATGTGGGGAGCACCTGGGGGCTGCAGGCAGGCGCAGGCTTTGCAACACGGCGTGCCCCTCTCTTTGCCCAGCGCCTGCACCCGTACGCAGTGTTGGGAGCAGCCTTGGCCCACACCCCTGTGCACCTCGCCCCCTTCCTGCAGCAGGGTGGGGGGGGGTCGCGGAGACAGGCCTGCTCCCCTCCAGAACTACACTGCTCGCCGGGAAGTGTCTGTGCACCAGCCACCGGCCTGCTGTCTCAGAGCTCCGGCCTGGAGCCCCTCAGGGGGTGAGTGCGTCCCTGTCACCACCTCTCAGTGTGCAGAGGCCGCTGGGCCCCGGGTGCCCCGGGCAGGTCGGACCCCACGGCCTGGCCCAGCGAGGCATCGGCTCGGAATTCCCGAGACCGGCTGCCCTGGCCAGTGATTGCTGGCGAGTCTTGCTTTGGTACTTGGAAGTCATGACCTTGAGGATAGTGACCTGGGCAGTGACCTTGAGGCGCTGATGTTTGCGAGGCCGGGTTTTGTGCCAGCGCAGGGCACCCCCTGCTGGCTGCTCTTGAGCCCCGCGGGCTGCCAGCCTTGCAGGAGCAAGTGGGGCGCAGAGCCCCTCCCTGCAGCCCTGTCCAGACCGTTGTCCCTGTTCCCCGGCAGCAGCCGCCCGCCCCACAGGGGCACTTCCTGTCTCTTAGTCGGAGCCAGGCCCGGGGAGCGCGGGCTGTTCAGCTCCTTGTCTGAAGGGTGTGTCCGTTTTCCGTGGCCACGGGCGCTGCTGGCACGGTCCCCAGCGAGGAGTCGGTTCTGCCTTCAAGACGGTGACCGTGGCCAAGGACAGCGTGGAGCGTGGAGTCCAGGCCCGCGGAGCTCGCCTCCGTCCGATGGGCCCGGCTTTGTTCCCTCTGAGGAGCCACCGCCCAGAGATGCTCCTGGGGGCTGGTTCCCCGTTTCCTGACTTGCCGTCGCCGGGTGACCCGATTTACGGGCTTCTCGTGGGCACATGGGCGTCTGCAGGGGGTGATCACGTGGCAGCCGAGGGCGCTGCACCTGCGGGGGGAGGC